AAGATGGCTGAAACCTAGCTACTACTCAATGAATAATTTTGGACAGTTTGTCTGAGGTATCAGTCAATCAATAAACAATTATTAGTGCCTATCACATGCCAGGCACTAAGCTAAGTGCTGGGGATACAAAGAAAGGCAAAAGACAGTCCCTGCCCTCAAGGAGCTTGCAATTTCACGGAAGAGACAATATACCGACAACTATGTACAAACAAGCTGTGTAAAGATAAATTGGAATCAATCAACAAAGGGAAGGCTAAGCAAGCCTAGGGTCAGTAGGTAATTAGACTTGCTTTGTTTCAGTCCTGTATGACTCTTCGTGACCTCATTTGGGGTTTTCTTGGCAAAGATACTAGAGTGGTATGCCATTTCCTTTTCCAGCTCATTTTATAGATAAGCAAACCAAGGCAAACAGGGTTAAGTGACTTGCCCATGGTCAGCTAGTAAGTGTCTGAGGCCAGATTTGAACTTGTCTTTCAAACTCAAGACCCAGTACTCTACCTACTGTGCCACCTAGCCACCCTTAACAACAAACAATAACAAAAGTGTCAAGGTGCAATAATATTCCCTTCTGGGGTAAGGTCCAAGCTTCTTCCTTCCCTCATAACTTCCTACAACCCACAATACTGACATGAATCTGCTCAGCAAAAATTGCTGATGACATCTTAAATATCCTAAAGAGTAATGATAAAAAGAATAACCCTACTTTGCATTAGTATGGGGCTTTACCAGAATTCAAAAAAATTCCATTTTATTTCATGGATCTTCATAGTAATCCTGTTAAGATGGGCAAGGCAGGAATAGTCCCCCTTATTCCACAGAAGCCAAGACTCCAGGGAGTGGTCCAGCGAGCAACATAACTGAATTTAGACCCCCAGATATTATAAGTCCATGTCTGTGTTCTCTCAAACTGGGTCATACAAGTATCCCTGTTTTTGCTGTGGTTTGGGTAGAATCTGAAATCCTTTCCACTGAGGCTGAGCCAAGCTAGAGTCTAAAGAGTTTAAGACAATCTTTTACTTCTACTGCCCTGAAAATCACAGATCCAACAATTTTAGACTTGGAAAGGACCCTAGAGACCAAAGGAACATAAGACAGCCTTCATTCTATGAAACTATAAACTTGGCACCTTTCATAAAATAAACATTCGCCATATAATGAAATGTTGAGAGTGAAGTTCTCTCCACAACACCCCCACCTTTAATCAATACAGCTTTTCATTCTGCTATCTTGGCAGCAATTTTTTATGGGAAGGAAATGTTCTCTGGAATCAGGTAAAAATTCTCAGAGTTGACTTGGTATCAAGCAAATGAAAAATAAATGCGATTTCATGATTAGGAGGACTACATTTGATCTTCCTTGATTGTTAGTTTGTTTATGGAAAACAGTTGCAATCAGAGAAGGCATTTAACCTGGGAAAGATAGCCATTCTGCCTGATAAAGGGAATTATTCTAAATGGTGATTGGTCCCCTCTATGTGCAGTGACGAAGTTCAGGGGCACTGTTACCTAGCTGTTTCCATCTCACCCTGCAATGTGCCAAAAGAGAAAAAAAGACAACTTTGCTGCAATGCATCAGGCTTAATAGTTATTCTGAATAGGTATATGGATTTGGAGGGGGAAAGGATTTTCTGGGGAGGGGTGAAGGAGTGAATGGATTAGCCTCAGAAAATTGAAAATCTATCCCCTAAATAAAAAAATTTTGGAAACACCTTCAGAAACACTGGTGGTACTTTTGCATGGAAGAAGCAAAGGAAAAAAATCCCAAAACTTGTTAAGGACTGATTCATTAGGGAAGGAGCTCCCCATCAATGGAAGAGTTCAAGTATAAGCTAGATGACCACTTGTTAGAAGGGCTGTAAAAAGGAATTAATATTTTGGGTAAGCATTGGACCCGATGTCTTCTACTGTTTCTTCCAACACTACTATGCTAAAAATCTAAGAGTGTAACTCCCAAGGGCCCTTTTAGCAGTGAGACTGCAGGGTGCTGGTTGGTTGAGGCCCGCCTCCCCTTCAACACTCCTGCCCTGACAGAATACTTCAGGAGGGTTCCTGAAGGTGACTGTAATGCTATGCTGTATTCCTCACTGTGTGTGGGCTCCTTCTTGATTACCCTCCAGCAACCTTCTCTACATTATAATGTACCTTCTTTAGCACTGAACAAGAGGGAATGCTATAGAGATCCAGAGTTCTTAGCCTGCTACAATAGCTATCCTTGCAGGCTCTGGAGAGCTTGGATGTGGGCTGGGAGTCAAGGGCTGCTGCAGCAGGCATGGAAAGGAGAGGAAATGTAAGAGGCCACACAAAACTTTTAGGGGTAGTAGATTCACAAGATGATAGTTTTAGAGTCACCTATTGTGACTCCCTTATTTTACAGATGAAGACATGGAGGCCAGAGAGGTTGACTGAATTTTCCACAGTCACACAGGTAGTCAGTGTCAGAGGCAAGATTCAAACTCAAGGTCTCTGACTTCAAATCCAATGCTCTTTCTACTATACCACCATCTTCCTGTGCATCTCCAAACCATTCCAGCCGTAGTCCCCACCGGAAGCTTAGACTTTACCCCTGGAACTCCCCTGGGATCCAGGATCCAGCTCACCTGATAGGTGAGCTTTCACGTTATCGTGATCAGATCCACACCTCCACCCTTCCCAGACATCTCTAAACCATACATCTCTATACTCATCCCTCCACTCTTTGCAACTCCCCATTTATGTGTTCTTTTCCCTAATAAGAATGTAAGCTCTTTTGAGGGCCAGGACTATCTTGCTTGTATTATATTCTCATTGCCTAGAACAGTACTTGGCACTTGGTTGTTGTTGTTGTTTAGTTATTTTAATTGTGTCTGACTCTTTGTGACCCCATTTGGGGTTTTCTTGGCAAAGATGTTAGAGTTGTTTGCCTTTTCCTTTTCTAGCTCATATGACAGATGAGGGAACTGAGGCAAACAAGGTTAAGTGACTTGCCCAGGGTCACACAGCTAGTAAGGGTCTGAGGCCAGATTTGGACTCAGGTCTTCCTGACTCCAGGCTCGCTATTCTATCCTTCACCACTTAACTGCCCAGCCTGGTACAATAATCTAGTATATAACAAGAACTTAATAAATGCTCTATATCTATCTATCTATCTATCTATCTATCTATCTATCTATCTATCTATCTAT